CTCTAACATTCTGTGATTCTGTGAACTCACAGTAAGGCTCTTTGTTTTCATGAGAAACTGCATGATGGTCCCTGACTCATGTTCCATAGAGAATGCTGAGACAAATATGAATTACTTTAAAAGCTTTTCCAAGGAACTGACCCATCGGTCTCAGCACCTGTATAAATATACAGGTGCTCTTCTTGCAGTGAACTGTCAATATTCTACTGTGCAGCTGTGCTGAAAGGATGCACAAGGATCCCAGCCCCAGTGCTGGGAAGTGCTGGGGCACATCTGTACTCGTTTTAGCTGCATAGCAGAAATGTAAAGTGACTCTAGATTGCCATCCAGTCTTGCTGGGTTCAGAAGTTATTGATCAGGAAACAGGGTGGACAGATGTAAGCTGTCAGTTGATGCCAATACTTTTTTTCCAGGAGAGGCACCAAATCCGAATGAGGCCAACTGCAAGAAGCTTGATCTCCTGGTTTACGTACTTCCTCCAGCCCAGGAGAAAAGGTCACTGCATTTGAAAGGTCAACACTTTGTGGGCTTTCTTCTTTTTCTTTTATCTTTTTCCCCAAGATTGTCTTGATTTTACTATAACATTTGAAATCTGTTAAATGTGAGTAACTGCAAGCAACCCTGAGGCTCCCTCTTCTGTGCAGTTAACCTCTGGGTATTTCTGACCATAGAAGTACCATAGACACTCACAGAAGCCCAAGGATCTTGCACAGAATAAGAGAAACAGCAAAACATATGTGGATAATCTGTAGATAACCATCCAAGGAATAAAATCTCAACCTAATTTCACTTCCTTATGAGTAAAACTACTCACAAAACAAAGCTTGGAATTGTAGAGTGGCTCATGTCCAAGAAGTTTGAGGTGATGTAGATGCAGGAAAGAAACAAGAACAACACTCACTATTCAATTTTAGGTAGTTTCCTCATATAAAGATTATAGTTTCCAGGAGGTCAGGACAACGACCCTTCAATTTTCAGAAGGCAAATTGAGTTCCAAAGCCAAGTATAAAATCAGGTTCAGAAAATATGGATATTATTGCACTAAGAACTTTTTTCCTACCATTTACAGTCACCTCTATGAGTGTGTGAAAGAGGAAGACCTAACCTCAGATTTCCAATAAGTTTTTGATGTGGCCCCCAAAAATGTTCCTGAACTAATTTCCAGTGGGGTAAGTGGTACGGTTCACATGGGTATTCATGAAGATACAGGAAAGAAATGAAAAGATAAATAGTAAGTCTTCACTGTGGAGAAAGGTCATCCTAACAGAACATTATAAATGTCTGTGCTGGTTCCCAAGCATTTCAACTAACTCATAACTGGTTTACACTAGAGACGTACACTGAAACACCAAATATCCTGTTAATACAAAATCAGCCAAGTCACTAAAAGAACTGATTGCATCGTTCAGAAAAGATCCCACAGTACTGAGTAACTGCATTCAAAACAGAATATACAGGAGCCTGACAGACCTAGAATATTACACAAGAAAACAAATCTTAACAATACACAACTGGGATTGTAGTTTTGAACCTATCTCCACTCAAAAGACCTTGCAGTGTTGAGGGGAAAAAAAGCAACTGCATTAAAAACTAGAAAGGAAATGGAGAATAAATAAAAAGAGACACAGAAGCTCTGAGGATAACCAAAGCTATGCTATGGCTTTTTTGAGAAGGATAGACAAATAACTGGAATCCAACTAGGAAGACAAAAATTAGTACGGATAAGGATATAAGAAAAAAATCTCAGAATTAACATATGATATGCCATCTGTGAACAGGGAAGAACTGTTCATCATCTTTAAAGAGTGAGCGGGTATTAGATGAAATTTTAAGATGGCATGTTAAAAAAAAAATAAAGCTTTTCTTATGAAGAAATGTGATTATATGATAATGGGTGATGAAGCCATTAAAGCATTTTCTCCAAGATACTGTAAATATCAGAAATTTCCTCATAAGAGGTCAAGAGATCAGATTTAATTGTAGAAAAATGCATAAGCAGTGCCTTTCGATTCCTTTGGATCGGGAAGTTCCCAAACCACAGATATGTAGAAGCTGGGGCTGTGTGCTGGGTAAGCATCATTGTATACTTGCCTTGTCCTTGTACTCGTCTTTATAAGAGGGGTCTTTCAGTCTGCTGGTTCTTCCTGCATGACTGGGGTAGGACATGACGAAGAGAGACAGTGCACTCACAGCATCCAAACTGCAGACAGCCACTAAGAAGAGACCAATCGAGAAGGCTGCTGCACCAGGTGCTGCCAATACAGTGAAAAGCAACCAGCAGCAAAGTTTCATGAACTGTATGGCTTCGATGGCTTGGCACATTGGATCCACAGGGGTATAAGGCTTTGGCAGATACTGGCACACAGTGTACCATAATGCCATCAGGGTAGGAGGCGGCAGGACCCATCTGGATTTGTGGAGTGACAGGGGAATGCCTATAGTTGTCTGCGTTGGAGGCTGAGGTGGGCCTTGTGGAGTGCACCTAGGGCTCCCTTTCCCTCTGGCAGGGGGTGGCTGACTCCATAGGGTACCCCTGACAGCCAAGACAGTGCCTGTGGGGATGAGAAGTACAGGGATTCTCTTTGAAACACCCTGGAACCGGGATGAGAGTCTCTCCACAGTTGGTATCTCAAGATGTGGCCAGTCTGTCATAACCAGTGAGTTGGTGTATGACACTGATGCATTTTCCACAGACCTCCTGTACATGGCCCATGTGTACTGGATGTCGTGCAGATCTGTGGAGACCTGTTTGTTGTCCAGGTCGCTGTAGACCACCTCCACCACTGCTAATTTTCTTAGATACTGAACACCTGCCTCAGGACAGGTTCAACTGCCTAAGTAATTGACAAGATCACCCTTGAGAGGACACCTGACACTCAACAGGAACCACCTCCAGAGACTGAAGATCGTCAACTCTTTTCCAATTTCTTTCTTGCTTCCCTGGTCAGTAGCAAGGGATCCCAGCTGCTGGGCTTCCCTGCCCTCAATTCCTGACTATCCCCTCCAGCATCCTGGCATTTGAGCAACCAGGCAGCAATATGCTTGTCCAGCTGGCAGCTATATTTCTTCTGCAAATCTTGGAGCTTGCTCAAGGTTAGGGATGGTGCAGTTTCTGCCTCTTGGATGACTTTTATCGCTTCCTCCTTACGTTTCCTTGCCAAAAGACTTGCTTCCTGATCAGACCCTTCCTCCTCCTCCTCCTCCTCCTCCTCCTCTTCCTCCTTCTCCTCCTCCTCCTTTACTAGTTGATGTTACAGTCCTGTTGACCTCCACTGCCAGTACTTTGTTTTTACTACTGGGGCAATCACTGTAGTTGAGGTTTGGTACCCTGTCTCAACCATCATGTCCTTTGAGTTAGAGGTCCACTTTCCCCTGTGGCCATGACAGTGCTAGGCAGATGACCAACAGGCACATGCCCAACAGGCACAACCCAAGCCCCAGAACAGTGGTAGGGTCTCACTGGCGTAGGCAAGGCACCCTTCCATCAAGTGATGTGCCAATTCAATGGGATTGCATGCCTGTTCAGGTCTAAAATACCAGGTTATAGAAGGTGATAACAGACCTATGCACTTGCCAAAACCCTCCTCCATGACCTGTCACCCAGGGATCAACTGTCTCAGGGCACATTTCTCTGTCAGCTCAACATCAAGTTCTTTACTCTTACACCAGGACCAAACCAGGTTCCACACACACAACGGCAAGCCAACAATGTTAGATAATAGGATCAAACATCTTTACATAAGGAGGTACAAAAAACTCAGGAGCTCACACAAGAGAGCTGGACACATCAACCCCAGAGGAAAAGAGGGAGGTGTAAGCCCTTGTTCTCTCTGCAAGGTAGCTCAAGGAGCACAGGAACAGCATCACAACCAGGGCCATATGTCAGCATGGGCATATGGCCTTTGCCTTAATCAAAATGTTTCCAAGCACAGCGGAATACATTGATAAGTGGCACAGCAAAGAGCAAAAGCTGAAAGCAGCCATTAAAAAGCCCTAGACTGTAATACACAGTAGAGCAAGCAAGTTCTGTGACCCACACAGAAGCCTGTCAACCAGCAAATTAGCATGCTCAGATCAAAACTGTCATTACCTCAAGCCCCACGCTGGGTGCTAAAAAGGATTGTGATGGGTTGACCCAGCCAACGGCCAGACGCCCCCACAGCTGTTCATTCACTCCTGTCTCTTACTGGACAAGAAAATAAAAGGTGGGAAGACAGATGGGTTGAAAGAATGACAGTTTATTAGGGAAAACAAAAGCCCCGTGCACAAGCAAAGCAGGAAGAGGAATTCATTCATTACTTCCCACAGCCAGGCAGATGTCTAGCCACTTCCTGTACCTCAGCACATGTAAATGGTTGCTTGGGAAGAAAAATGCCATAACCATGACCTCTCCTGCTCTGTCCTCCTTTTCCTGAGCTTTTATTGCTGAGCATGCAATATGGCATAAAACATCCCTTTGGTCAGTTTGGGTCAGCTGTCCTGGCTGTGTCTCTCCCGGCCTCTTGCCCACCCCCAGGCTCCTCACTGCAGGAGAGTGGGGCAGGGCAAAGTGGGAAAGAGAGAAAGCCTTGACCCAGTGCTAGCACTGTACAGCAATAGCCAAAACATCCCTGTATTATCAACTCTGCTTCAGCCACAAATCCAAAGCACAGCACCATACAGGCTGCTGTGGAGAAAGTTAACTCCATCTCAGCCAGACCCAGCAAAATCACCCTTTGAGGGTGTCTCCTTTCCTCATTCCCACTGTTTGTAAACAAAGACTTTTAAGATGGTACCCATGATCCATGAGGGAAGCAGGGAATACTGTGAGCTTGTCACAGATGAGGATACACAACCTAGTTTCTAGGTGAGTCCCAGCTGCTGAATCAACTCTCCTTTCTCCACTTTCCACCCAAAGCTCTTCCCCACATTACTGTTGGCACTTACAGTTCTATGACGTTCTCCTTTTGCATTTAAATAAGCTTTGATTGCAGCCAAACCTGTGTACTCTCCTTGGGCTCCGCTGCAAGAGGAACACAAACGTTGTTACATAAGCACACAAGCCAGAAAGTGCCAGGTCTCTACTGAAACTTTGAAATTGTCCAGCCCTAACCCTTCTCAATGGATTTAAGCAAGTGTCAGCAAATTAAAAGCAGCACTCCCATGGATTAAACTACAAATGGACAAAAAATAATTAGCAGCTCTTGCCTCTTGCAAATAGTAGATGAAAAAAGTTATGCCATTTTATGTGCTTACACCATGATATTAAATCCTTTTGGTGACTGAGTTGATCCCCATTTCTTCACATAGCAGGGGACTACACACTTGACTACTGTGAGGCAAACTAATACTGAAATGCATAGTAAAGTGCGTGCGGTGAAACGTAAGAACCCTTTCAATGACAGCCTAAGCGTAGAGTAAGTCCTAGCTGCTAATTTTGTATCAAAATTACTAATGGACATAAACAAGCTGCAGCAGTATGCATTCAGCTCTGCTTTATTTATTCCAGCAAACATGCTGATCCTAGGCATTCTTCAGTCAAACCTAGTATTACCTAGTGCATCAAATATTGGTTTCAACAGTCATATAGTTGCCAGCTCATAGAGCTTATTCCTATTTCAACTCTTTAATTTTGGCTCATAGGAGGCCATCAGTAACATCACCATTTTAAGCAAGCAATGGTGGAGAAACCAGCCTTCACAGAAAAGAAAACATGTGAAAAAGGATTAAAATAATAGAAAAGACCAAATCAATAAACTTTTAGAAGACACAAGACAAAATAAGGTTCTCCAGTTTTTAAAAAAACAAATCTTGCTTTTACAACCTTGCATTCAAGGCTTCTCTTTGTCAAATTTAATTTTAGAAACTTCTTCAATTTTTGGCTTGCACATTTTCTTTGGAGATAAGGATGTTAAGGAGCAAATGTTCAGAAAAAAATTCCTACCTGTTTGGTTGGAAGGAGATCTTGTCATAGCCAGTAATCTCACAAAGGTCCTTCTCTAAATCCTTGAAAAGCTGCTGATATCCTTGAGCTTGATCCAGGGGCACAAAAGGGTGGATGTTGGCAAATTCTTTCCATGAAACAGGCTATTAAAAGAAAAAAAAAGTGCTGTAACAAAAAATTCTGCGGACGACTCTTGTTTTGTTGTTAAATTCTATGAAGCAAAGAAGCTGCCCTCTTCTTGTGTAGCAAGACAGGCTCCCAGCCTCATTGTAGGGTGCAGCCTGGCTGAACAGAGAGCTTTGGCTGAAATTCAAGAAAAAAGAGAGAGTTTATGATCTTTGGAAGAAGAGGCAGGCAACTCAGCAGAATGACAAAAATGTAGTGAGGTTATGCAGGGAGAAGGGCCAAAGCCTACTTAAGGGCTTCAAGAATTTAAAATTTGAAGGGCCCAAGAACTTAATCTGCCTATTGCCATAAAAGACAATAAAAAATGTTCATGTACATACATTAGCAGCAAAAGGAGGGATAAGAAGAATCTCCATTGCTTATTGGATAGTGACAAAGGATGAGGAAAAGGCTGAGGTACTTAATGTCGTCTTTGCCTCAGGCTTTAAGTCAGACCAGTTGTTCTTGGGATACCCAGCCCCCTGAGCTGGAAGACAGGGACGGGGAGCAGAACAACTCCCCCATAATCCAAGGGGAAATGGTTATCGACCTGCTACACCACTTGGACATACACAATTCTATGGGGCTGGGCAAGATCCACCCAATAGTACAGAGGGAGCTGGCAGAAGTGGTCACCAAGCCACTTTCCACCATTTGTCAGCACTCCTGGCTAACCACAGAGGTTTGACTGGGGGTTAACAAATGTGATGCCGATCTACAGAAAGGGCCAGAAGGAGGATTCAGGGAACTACAGGCCTGTCAGTCTGACCCTGGTGCCAGGGAAGGTTCATGGAGCAGGTCATCTTAAGTGCCATCACGCAGCACTTACAGGACAGCCAGGTGATCAGGACCAGTCAGCATGGGTTTATGAGAGGCAGGTCTTGCTTTACTAACCTGATTTCCTTCTGTGAGAAGGTGACCTGCTTAGTGTATGAGGGACAGGCTGTGGACGTTGTCTACCTAGACTTCAGTAAAACCTTTGAAACTGTTTCCCACAGCATTCTTCTGGAGAAACTGGTTGCTCATGGCTTGGATGTGTGTATTTTCTGCTGGGTAAAAAACTGGCTGGATGGCCAGGCCCAGAGAGTGACAGTGGATGGAGTTAAATCCAGATGGAGGCCAGTCACAAGTGATGTTCCCCAGTGCTCAGTACTGGGGCCAGTTCTGTTATCTGGATGAGGGGATGGAGTCCACCTTCAGCAAGTCTGCAGAAGGCAACAAGTTGCGCGGGAGTGTTGAACTGCTTGAGGGTAGAAAGGCTCTACAGAGGGATCTGGACAGGCTGAATCGATGGGTCAAGGCCAATTGTACGAGGTTCAAACAGACTGAGTGCTGGGTCCTGTGCTTGGGTCACAACAACCTCCTGCAACACAACGGGCTTGGGGAAAAGTGGCTGGAAGGCTGCCTGATGGAAAAGGTCCTGGGGGTGTTTATCGGCTTCTGGCTAAACATGAGCCAGCAGTGTGCCCAGGTGGCCAAGAAGACCAAAAGCATCCTGGCTTTTATCAGAAATAGTGTGGCCAGCAGGACTAGGGAAGTGATCATCCCTCTGTACTCAGCACTGGTGAGGCCACACCTCGAATAGTGTGTTCAGGTTTGGGCTCCCCCACTACAAGAAAGACACTGAGGTGCTGGAGCGCATCCAAAGAAGAGCAATGAAGCTGGTGAAGGGTCTAAAGCACAAGTCTTATGAGAAGTGTCTGAGGGAACTGGGGTTGTTTAGTCTGGAAAAAGGAGGCTGAGGGGAGACCTTATCGCTCTCTACAACTATGTGAAAGGAGGGTGTAGCGAGACGGGTGTTGGCCTCTTCTCCCAGGCAACAAGTGAAAAAAGGCAAGGAAGAGGAAATGGCCTCAAGTTGTGCCAGGGGAGGTTTAGATTCGATATTAGGAAAAATCTCTTCACTGAAAAGGTATTCAAGTGTTGGAACAGGCTGCCCAGGGAAGTGGTTGAGTCACCATCCCTGGAGGTGTCTAAAAGCCATGTAGACGTGTTGCTCAGGTACATGGTTTAGTGGTGGACTTTGCAGTGTTAGGTTAATGGTTGGATTCAATGATCTTAAGGGTTTTTTCCAACCTAAATGATTCCATGATTCCATTAATATTTTTTTTAACATTCAGAAGATGCTTAAATGTCATTAGTTTCTCCTTCTAGGTCACTGACCCTTACTTAGAGCTGTAGGATCACAGGGCAACACAGAGGAGTTATGTGGAATGGTACATAATACTCAGTTTGTTTCCCCGTTTTGTTGCTATCCATTTTAATTAGAAGGGAATACACAAGACAAAACAGTGAATGAAGAAGTCAGAGAAGGCAGTGAGAGAAATGGGATAAAGGAAACCTACTGAAAGATCAAAGCAAGAAGCCAATCAGGAGAAAGCAAAGGAAGCTCATTCAGAGTCAAAAAAGTAATTTGTTACCCAAACCGCCTGGCTAATGCTCTGCTTCATTTGCTAACAGATAGAAAAATGGAGATATCTAGGGACTCTAGCTCCTCACCTGGGGAAAAGCAGCTCTATCCTAAGAAACAGCAAACTGACAAAGAAGCATGAACTGCCAGTCCCACCTGACTTACTGCCACACCTCATGAGGGAACAGGACTGTGATTCCTAGTTCCAAAAAATGATTTTCATTATATTTTTTCAAAATGGAGTCTTCAAAGCAGTCTCCTGCTGTTGTTGCACTCCAACTGTACTTTTTGGAGCTTTCTTCCTAGCAGAAAAGGGTGCTGATGACTTTAACGATTTCTGAAACCTCCCCCTCAGCTGAAGTACTAGATCAAAAGCAGTCTTTACTTCTCTACAGTGACACTGGCTAGATAGTTTACTCATAGTTTACACCCACTCACTCATGTGGGTGTCAGGTAAGACAGTATTATTACAACTTACTGTAAGTTCAGCTGAACTGTTGAGCTTCATTGTGCAGGACCCCTAAAAATATAAATATATTTGTCAGTATTTATTGTAATATATAAATATGTACCTAGGTACCTAATTTTTTCTCTTTTTGGTAAATACCTACCAAAGGAATCATGCTGTGAACAAGGGAAATATCTTTGTTTTCTAATCTTTTCATGTACCGCACGATATTTGTCTCAGAGTGATAGCTGGAGAACACAAAATGTGGTGTTAAGGCAAGCAGATTAGCTATACCAGCTGGTTGATCTGTGCTCTAACATAGGAAAAGCCATAAAAACAGAATTAGGACTGAGGATAATTTTTATTATATACGAGGTACTTCTTTCCAAATTGGTACTTTATGCTTGCTAATAGCAATGTAGATGAAAAATGCTTACTATCATTTGCTCAGAAATGCTATGGGTAAATATGGAATATAAGGGCTCTACTAAGTCTGCTGATACTACGTCCTCAAATAATAGCTTGTACAATGTAGCTGATTAATGGAAAAACACATCACCCATGTGAGCATGAGTATTGCTTTGCTCATTTAAAATGTGAAAGATATCTAAAAATGCTACTAAAAGTAAATTATTTCAGAGTAACACATGACTGTATCAATACAGCTACAAAACTGTCCTCAACTGACTCCAGTACTGCTTTTGAAAGGAGATGCTTTCAGATTCAATTAAAATATCAGATATATAGCAATTTCACAAACCTGTTGAAAACCTGATGTGTCAAGAATTTGGAAGTTCTCTTAAATGGCGTGCTAAGGATGCCTTTGATTTCCTCCCCCATACCCTCAGCAATTAGCTCCTTTGACACAAAGAAACATAGAGTCAAATACTTTCACAGAAATTTTTCTTTTCACAGTCAATTTTCATCGTATCTAGCTTATACTACCAGCCTACCTCAAGATTCAATCAGCTTTTTAGGTTAAAAAAAGAGCCCTTTATTAGCGTACACACCTGTATATATCTAGCATGACAAGAGCATTATATTAAAACTGGGTACAGATGTCTCAGTAGTCCTCGTCTTGGAAGTACTGTTGCTACTTACTAATGACATGCAACAAAAATTGCAGTGGGACAGAAATTATTGGCCACCAGGTCCTAACCCTCACAAAACAAGTAACAGCCTAAACACAAGGTGTCCAAGCTGACCGACAGGACTGTGTCACAATAAGAAAATGGCATTACGCAGTTACATAAGTCATTGTTATCTCATACTGCCTCTTTGTTTAAGAGGGGATCTGAAATTCTCAGTATTTAACAAATGGTCTTCATATAGACACCCACTGTCCCAAGAGCAGTTTTGCTTTACACTAAACTTCTGAAACATTCAGATAATTTAATCTGTATGATCTGTTGTCTACTTACAGCTGAAGACTCACAACCAAAAATCCAGAATATGTCATCTAGATCTTTCTCATTTACAGTTTCATCAAGTGATACGCCAAGCTATGGATAAAAGCAACAGTAATTACTCAAAGCTCTTAATTCCAGAGGCATAGTATATTTGTTCTGGTTGAGAAAAAATATTCCACAAAGAAAGAAGGAAAAAAAAAACATAAAATCAATCTACCCAGCAATATGTAAACGTCACTTCATTTTATGTAATAGATATATAAATTTATTTTATTTACAAAAAATTTTCCAATTCCTACCTTTCCTCTGCTAAATCATCCAAGCCAGATGGCTCAGAAGCTTCAAGACTTTTGATCTCACCTAATGTTTCTGGTTTCTATTTAACAGGAAGATTGCCCATTCTTCTAGACTGCCCAGTCCCCCCATCCCATTTTACAGAGCATATTAAACTTTGCCAAAAGTCCTAGTGTCTAACAAAATGTGGTTTAGATTTCAATCTGTCTTTAAACACTGCCACAGGATTTGAATTCTGGAGGTCACTTTGCATTTCATCAAGTTTTAGAGTCTCTCCACTCTAGCCCTTAGTGGCATATTTAACATGAAACAATTAGGTAATCTTTTTAAACAGGCATAAAATGAAAATACAATTATTATTTTGGAAGTTCAGTACATCACTAAACATCTTCATACTTTATATTATCTTTATAATTGACTGATATGTCTGGGCAAATTACAAGAAATCTTAAATAATTTTGTTCTGTTTAACACATGCAATGACTAGAAAGTTAATGCAGAAAGGCATGCTACAAAATTTCTGAAAGGTTTAGGGAGCTGCTTACTCTGCCATCACTATAAATCCGAAAATTTATCTTTCTAAGAGCTGCCCTGTCCAGAACCTCTTTGACTGAGCATCCACACGTGATCGTCAAGGTATCAAAGAACAGATCATGATGTAGTTTATGACCAGCTCGCCTGAGACCTATGAAAAACAGTAATTCTATTAGATGCATACTGTATTACTTGCTTCCACAGTATTTGCATAACAACACCATCAATCTCATAAGTAAATGCTTTTACATAACAAAGCAAAATATTCCCCTTGTGTACAGAGCAGCAAAATCACCAGGTTTTCAGTGAAATGTCACTGGGCATGAAATGCATCTAAATCAGTTTCAGACCTAATTAATAATACAGATTGAGTCTAGGGAAGATCCTTCTGATGCATCAAATTTGTAATATAATATTGTAATTTGTAGCAGAACTGGTATATGAATGCAGTAAGGGCAATATCACAAGACTGGGAAGAAAAATTTTATTATATAAACGGATATTGACTGTCATTGAGCTTGCCATAATAAAGTTTAGAGTCTTGGTGCTCTTCACAGCAGCCAAAGGTCTTCCAGCTAAGCTGGCAAATAAAGCATGGATAACCATGGCAATCATTCCTCAGTTCCCATCACAGCTCCTTCTGACAACGATAGCCACGCCAACGAAAAAAACTAACAAACCACATAGTCCAACTTCAGTAATTATTTTCTGCTACAGATTCTATGCTTTCGGTCAGCTGTTAAGCTTTGGGATTTCAGTGTTAATAGCTGGTATGATACTCCACCCAACTTAACTGAAATGTTCCTATTTCTTTAATCTCATTTATGACTTCTTTTTGCTATGTTATTAATTCTCTGTGCAAATTTCTGTGTGTAAACTAGGATGGTCCAGTAAGTGAAGTCAAGAGCTTTCAGCTGGAAAACAGCCTTCGAATCTTATAATCTAGAGACTCGGTGTGTAGACTTCTGTTTTTTGAGAATTAATGCTTGCAAGCTTATATCACACAGATATCTAATTCTTGGATGTCATTACCAGAAGTACACAAAAATATTAGCTATGAATTTTGTATTAAAATGTTCTCTCTAGAGCTGAGGGAAGACACATCAGCTGGCAAAAAAAATGTGTTATTTAAGAAGTTGTAAAGATTTAAGGACAGTTTCTACAAACATTAAATACTCACCTTCAGCCAAGATTAGAGTAGCATTATGTACCCGTCTTGCAATATGCCTTAATCCATCAGACCCATGGTATACACCAAACATAGCTGCCATGTTAGCCAGAAGAGCCTAGGATCCAAATACAGCTTAGGATATCATTATTATTGTTGTTATTATTATTATAATTATCATTCAGGATTACTTCATGTTAGTTTAGTGGAAAGTTTCTTTAGCACCCAGGGACAACCACGTATCCTCACCTCATGTTATACTTGATTACATGTTGCCTACAAAATAAAAAGTGGGAAAGGCAAAATACTTTTATGAAAATGTAAGCACTGATTATTAATTCAATGCCCCATGAAATGTAACTTTGTCAGCAATTAACATGAACTTGAATTCAGCTACAGCAATAAAGATGTTTGAAGACTCTCAAGTAAAGCTAGTCTCATAGGAAACTCATTGTTCAGGATTGGTGCAGAAAATTCACAGAATATCTCAAGCAGAAAGAGGCTGCGAGGAGAATGGATTGAGAGCAGCCCTGAGAAGGACTTGGGGGTGCTGGCTGATGAGAAACTGAACATGACCTGGCAATGTGTACTTGCAGCCCAGAAAGCCAGCTGTATCCTGGGCTGCATCACAACAAGCATGACCAGCAGGTCGAGGGAGGTGATTCTCCCCCTCTACTCTGCTCTCCTGAGACTCCACCTGGAGTACTGCATCCAGCTCTGAGGCCCCCTCATAAGAAAGACATGGACTGGTTGGAGCAAGTCCAGAGGAGGGCCATGAAGATGGTCAGAGGGCTGGAGCACCTCCCGTACAAGGACAGGCTGAGAGATTTGGGCTTGTTTAGCCTGGAGAAGACTCTGGGGAGACCTTACAGCAGCCTTCCAGTACTTCAAGGGGGCCTACAGGAGAGATGGGGAGGGACTCTATCAGGGAGTGTAGTGATAGGACAAGGGGTAACGCTTTTAAGCTGGAAGAGGGTAGATTTAGATGAGATATTAGGGAGAAATTTTTTGCTGTGAGGGTGGTGAGGCACTGGATGTCGTGGGTAAGGACTGAGCAGCAACCGTGCGCCACTGCGTGCCGCGTGGTTGCTCCCTTCTCCCTCCCATTCCCCCTCCCAGTAAGATGCGGGAAAGAATAAAACAAAGGTGGAACCTTGTGAGTTAACAACAGATTTTAATAATACAACATGAGAAAAAAGATAATATAATAATGAACGGGATTATAGAATGACACAAAACGGAAAGACCTTACCGCACCAAAATGCTGCATGCACCCCCCCACCTCCTCCAGACTAGCTTCCCCTTATACCCAGGGCATGATGTCAGGTGTCGAATATTCATCAGATGTAGAATATTTGCCCACCTCCCAGCTTCTGTGAAAATTAACCCTATCCAAGATGAACCCAGGACACGGGAACAGGTTGCCCAGGGAAGCTGTGGATACCCCATCCCTGGAGGTGTTCAAGGCCAGGCTGGATGAGGCTTTGAGCAACCTGGTCTAGTGGGAGGTGGCCCTGCCCATGGCAGGGGGGTTGGAACTGGATGATCTTTAAAGTCCCTTCCAACCTAAGCCATTCTATGATTCTATGAATACTAAGTAAATAAATCCATTTTAATATTATTAATCCCTCCTCAAAGCTGGCACAATATTAAGAGCATGAGTAAAGCATTGATAGGAGCAGAAAAAAATATGAACTTGTCTGGCTGAAGGTCTGTGGAGGCATGCTGAAGATAAATACTTTGGATAATTACTTACTTAATCATGGTATTTTCCTGTACAGATAGCTCTTTGGCAATATAATATTTTTGCATCAAATCACATAGATAAAAATACAAGTTGTGACAACTGGAATAAGTAGTTTTAGAATTAAAAATGGATGTTTATTGTCTTGAGTGGGCAATTTCATATCATTAGAATTCTGTTCCATTTTATTAAGAAGTGTGTCTCATTCATAACAAAAAAAAGCACTATTAAGTGGCATTCACCCAATGAGACAGATGGGCTCATGACACTGCACAAATTCAGAGCTAAAGTCTTCATTAGAGGAGACAGATATTATACCCTCTTTTCAAGCAAGGCTCCATTTTTCAAAAGACTCAAAACAAATGCACAAACACCAGCATATTTCAGCGTTCTTAATTTTTCTAGTAAAAACTCTCAAAAGTAAAGCTAACTCAAATTGCTGTGATGTTAGGACTATAATCTTATGGCTTAACTTGTTCCTTTCTACCACTGAAAATAAAGCATGACAAGTTACCTGAGCTGTGCAGATGTTGCTGGTAGCTTTATCCCTCCTGATATGCTGCTCTCGTGTTTGCAAAGCAAGTCGGTACACCTCCTTTCCATTTGCATCTCTAAGTCACAAGCAAAAATGTTTCTTCTGTTACTTTAAAATTACAGTAATTTAAGATATTGTGCTCTATGCATGCTAGAGAACTGAAACTAGTTATCCATCCTCTGAGACAGAAAGGTGCTGGACAGAATAAAGAGTGTCAAAACAGCTATGATATCAAACAGAGAGTGAGACTAAAGTCTCTAGGTTTCTATTTACATAATGGCTGGCAAATGTGTCTGGTCAGGTAGAGCACACAGTGAGTTTTCTAGGCATACTACACCAAGACTTGGTATTTGCCTTAAAATACCCCAGATTATTGCAACTGTTTAACTGAATAGTAATCCAGAACTTAATTTGAACAAACACTGAGAAGGCAGAATTTTTTCTAATGATGTCAAGTAAGACCATGTTGAATTTGTATATCAAAATGACCAGTCCAACAAGGTTGTATGAGTTAACTGAACAGGCTTTGGCCAATCCATCCTTTAAGAGGTCCTTTTGTAGGGTTCCTAACATGTTAAAAGTGAATAGCTAAGAGCCAATCTAATACCCTTTAAAACTATGACAACCTTCAGAACAGCCATAAAAAGAGACAAACTATGTTCACATATATAAACATATATATATATATGTACATATGTAGTGGTTTGAATAGCTAGAGTACTTGCCTCAAGTACTTGTGCACCAGTTATATGATATTTAAAAAATTTTTACTCCAGCAGTTTTTTGGGGGATTTGAGTATACATCTTAGTTTATCATCAGTCCATCCAGAAGGACCTTGACAGGCCGGAGAAATGGGCTGAAAAGAACCTCATTAACTTCAACAAGGGGAAGTGCGAAGTATGGCACCTGGTGAAGAACCCCATGCACCAGTACGTGCTGGGGGCCACCCAGCTGGAAAGCAGCTTGGCAGAAAAGACCCTGGGGGTCCTGGGGAACACCAACTTGAACAAGGGCCAGCAATGTGCCCATACAGCAAAAAAGGCAAATGGTATGCCCGGATGCATTAGGCAAAGCTTTGCCAGAAGTCACAGGAGGTGATCCCTGCCCTCTCCCCAGCACAGAGAGAGTCCAGTGAAGGGCCAGTAAGATGTTGAAGGGACTGGAGCATCTCTCCTATGAGGGAAGGCTGAGAGAGCTGGCACAGTTCAGCCTGGAGAAGAGATGACTCATCAATGTCTATAAATACCTGAAGGGAAAGTGAAGAGGATGGAGACAGGCTTTTATCAGCGGCGCTCAGTGACAGGACCAGAGACAATGGGTGCAGACTAAAACACAGGAGATTCCTCCTGAACATGAGGAAACACTTTTCACTGTGAGGGTAACTGAGCCCTGGCACAGGTTGCCCAGGGAAACTGTGGAGTCTCCTTCCTTGGAGATCTTCAAAAGACATCTCAACACAGTCCTGGGCTAGTGGCTCTAGGTCACCCTGCTTGAGCAGGGGGGCTGGACCAGATGACCTCCAGAGACCCTGTCCAACCTCAATCATTCTGTGATTCTGTGGTCAAAAACTTCAAAAAATACACAGCAGAAAGCTGTATTGTTTGAGAAAGTACTGTCGCTTTCTCCATTTTATTTTCCAACTTCCTTGAGATGCAGAAAGATTAAAGTAGATTTAAAATATTAAATTAGGTCTAGTCACAGAGTAGCAGCAGCATGACCTTGATAAACAGAATTACTGTTCTTTTGTAAGAGATTGTACCAGACTTCTGATCAAAATCTGAATTGGGGATCAGATTTTAGAACTATGAGTAAAGCCCAAGGATACTCTTAGAATAAGCAAGATGATTAAAAATACATATGAAGGAATAATACGATGCAAATTAAATATTGCTAAGCTTATTGATAACTGTCGTTAGTTATTTTGGGTACTGAATTAGTTCTGAATAGCTTCTGTGCCAAAGATATGCAGTCTTTCCAGTGACAATTACTTTGCATTTCTACTATTCCATTAGACATCTTGTCAAAATTCAAAATATGTCACCAATAACAAGAATTAGAGGTAAGTTTTTGCACACTATTCCTCTGCTTTGTTTAAGCTGCTCTAAAATTTGATCTAGATTAAGTTCCTTCTTGATTATTTGGGAAGTTCACTGAACTTTCTACTTCTTCCATTCATGTTTTTAATGACTGAATGTCAGAGAAAAAGGTATAACAGTACAGAATAAGCTGAATGGATTCCTTTGCAAAGCCTCATGCCATCACAATTAATCCTCTGCTGTTTCACTTATCTCTTCATCCCACATTTCAGCAAGCACTACAGACAGTTCACAGCTTTATTGCACACAAATACAATTCTTTAAGCTTGCTTCATAAAAATTGAAGGCAATTTTTATTCTCCCAGTTTTCAAGAAAAAAAGCATTCCGTACAACACCGTGGTCAGCTGTTATTCATAAAGGCTGCACATGATGGTCATAATGTGGTTTATTTCGATTTTCCCTGAAGACATTAACGCTGAAGGGAGCCCTTACCTTGTAACGCCCACCATTCTGCCCGGCATCATTCTCACTAGATTTTCTTTGACAGCAAAGAATGCTGCGTGGGGTCCCCCATAGCAGAGTGGCACGCCAAACCTCTGAGAGTTACCCAGGACAACATCTACACTAAACTCTCCAGGAGGCTTCAGAATACAGAGAGCCAGAAGATCAGTAGCGCAGCAGGTGAGAGTCTGAGAAAAGAAGTGCACAGAACAGTCAGCCTCTTTTCTGAAGGAATGGTGTTTGCATGGGAGCTAAGTTTGGACAAGATACGGCTTCAGACAGCTCCATATCACTTGCACAGAGGTGAGGTGCAATAGTTGTAATGGTTATCAATTGCATGGAGCTGAAGAGTAATATTTTAGACAATATCTCATGTAACACTCAGTTTCTATGATTAGGGCTGTTTCATGCATCAGATTGAAATCGGTGAGACCAACAAAATTTACTTTACCCCATTCTGATGAGCTCTTTCAACAAGCTCAGAGAAGTCTTCCACCTTCCCTTCAGTGTCCGGATACTGAAATAATACTCCACTGACATCCTTTCCACTAAAATCCATCTCATGGGGTAATTTGAGCTCAGTAAGAACACCTGTATAACTGGAAAACAAAAACATGCAGAAGACAACATATTCAAACCACTTCCTACCTTGGAGTGATATGTAATATGATGTTTTCATGGACTTATATATTACTTTTTTCCTTAACATACAGAGATTTGAACCTGCTTTGCAGCGCTAAACATTGAGAGAGTTTCATGTCATGGTATATAGCACTGAAGAATAATTGCAGTTGATATCATCAGAAATATGGAGCAAAGCAGAGGGGAGGATGCATAAGCTACTTGATAACAATATTTTGCTGCTTTAGCATGTTTAACTTTGAGAACCAAGTCATGTTTTTAAAAGATGGTTACTTTAAACTGTAAACTTAAAATGAATTTAGCTTTCATTAAAAGAGAAGTTTTGCTATCTAGGGTAACTAATTTCCTAGTTTAAAAAAAAAGACCAGACTGAATTCAATAACCAAATGTATATATTTGCACAAACAACTTAATGGGAAAATTAAATATTTTCTTTTTATCAGATGTTTAGTCTCTTTTAAAACATATTTAATTACTTTGCAGTTGTATTTGAAAGGAAAAGTAGAAGCAACACCAAATGTTAACAGATTTCTGCTTCTACTTTGCAAAGAAAGCAAAATCCTATATTCCAAAAATGTTAGGTATATGGTGAAGAGGCAAAGACAAAAATGATTCAATGTAAGTAAAATGATATGGTGGAAAATGGAAAAAAAAACCATTACTTTGCTCTAGTTTGGACCACTGCTATAGTTTGAGGGTGGCATCGGGCATCTACGTAGAACTTCCTTCTTTTGTTGTGCCTGTTAAAAAGAAAAGGCAGGAATAAGGGCTACATATCAACAATATACTATTTTCCATGGAAATAAAATTAACTGGAGTTTTCTTAGGTTAAAAGGCAGTCATAAATTTTGGTTATGATACCCAAATTAACTGTAAGATTGAATGAAGCTTCTAGTCCCTTTAAAATGAGAAAGTTCATTTCACAGACTCAAAAGAGATTCATACGTGACAAAAATTAAACAGGCTATGAAACAGAGGAAGAAGCCAACTTAAGAAGCTGCAGGACTGCCTCCACACACAAACACTCCTTTAAAGGAATACAACTGCGGCCTTTAATACAGATTCTCAGTGCTGCCCTGGATGACCAAACATGAGCAATCAAAGCAGTAAAATAGAGACTAAGACAATTGCCTAGTTTTCTCTGGTAAACATGATTTTATGTCAGACTGATGCTTTGAACAACTGAATAGTTACAACACAGTCTCTGCTGTGTAACCTCCTTCCTGCTATAGAGTCCTGCAGTGACCTTCAATCACCTTTCAGATTTCATTTGATTTGCAGATCCCTTTCAAATGCCCCTACAATATAGATCCCTGAACATAAATTTGGATATACCAGCGACAGTTTCACTTTTAGCAACTTATGACTGTCGTACTTCACTCTTTTTTAAAACCCCTTTCAACCACTAGTGGAAAAAAAAAAAATCACATCTTCTGTGTTCACGGACACAAGGGATTATTATGAGAGGTTTAAGGGTAAAGGGATACAGCTAAGTGATACTGTGAGGAACAAGTGTAAGAAAATAGAGAGGTACGGGGATAAATGGGGTCAGTCATACATAAACAGTTGCCGGCTAATGCACTTGCACCCAAGTAGTGCAGTCTGTCCTCTCTTCTTGTGTCTGTGATGGTGGCAGCTGGAGCAGGTGTGTGTCTGGGTGCCAGCAGCTCAGCTGGCAGCCCAGCCAGGGCAACTGGACTCTCTCCAGTAGGTCCATGTCTCTCTGGTACTGGTGAGCCCAGAACTGGACACAGCACTCCAGCGCTGGCCTCAACAGTGCTGAGGAGAGGGGAAGGATCACCTCCATTGATCTGTTGGCAACACTCCTCTTGACGCAGCCCAAGATACCATTAGCCTTCTTTGCCACCAGAGCACACTGTTGGCTCAAATTCAACTTGGTGTCCCCTAGTATCTCCAAAGGACTTTTCTGGAAAGCTGCTTTCCAGCATGCAAGCCCCCATCGTGTACCCCATGTACCTGGGGTTGTTCCTTCCCAGGTGCAGGACTTTGCATTTTAGCTTGTTGAGCTTTTTGAGGTTCCTGTCAGACCATTTCTCCAGCCTGGCAAGGTCCCCCTGTTTGTCAGCATAACCCTCTGGTGTATCAGCTGCTCCTCCTAGTGTGCCCAGGTGGCCAAGAAGGCCAACGGCATCCTGGCCTGCATTAGCAATAGTGTGGCCAGCAGGACTAGGGAAGTGATTGTGTCCCTGTACTCAGCACTGGTGAGGCCACACCTTGAATCCTGTGTTCAGTTTTGGCGCCCTCACCACAAGAAGGACATTGAGGTGCTGGAGCGAGTCCAGAGAAGGTCAACGAAGCTGGTGAAGGGTCTGGAGCACAGGTCTTATGGGGAGCAGTTGAGGGAGCTGGGGTTGTTTAGTCTAGAGAAGAGGAGGCTGAGAGGAGGGAGACCTTATCACTCTCTACAACTACCTGAAAGGAGGTTGTAGTGAGGTGGGTGTTGGCCTCTTCTCTAAAGTAACAAGTGATAGGACAAGAGGAAATGGCCTCAAGTTACACCAGGGAAGGTTCAGGCTGGATACTAGGAAAAATTTCTTCACTGGAAGAGTGGTCAGACATTGGAACAGGCTACCCAGGGAGGTGGTCGAGTCACCATCCCTGGAGGTGTTCAAGAAATGTGTAGATGTGGTGCTTAGGGACATGGTTTAGTGAGTTAGGTGGTGTTGGGGTGGACTTGATGATCCTTGAGGTCTCTTCCAACCTTAATGATTCTATGATTCTATGATTCTGTGATGATTCTATTTGCATCATCAGGAAGCTTTCTGAGGATACACTCTGCCCCATCATCCAAATCATTAATTGGACCCAGTGTTGCCTCTGGGGTACACCATTAGTAACTGTCCTCCAACCAGACTTCACATCACTGATCACCACCCCCTGGTCCCAGCCATTTGGCCAATTTTCAATACAACTCACTCTCACCTCATCCAGCTCATACTTCTTCAGCTTCTCTGTGAAGATTTAACAGAGACCGCCAAGGTAGACGATACCACTGCTCTCCCCTCATCTACTAAGCCAGCCATTTAACTGTAGAAAGTCATCAGGTTGGTCAAGCATGACTTTCCCGGTGTGAATCCATGCTTGTGACTCCTGATCACCTTGTCCTTCACATGCCTGGAAACGGTTTCCAGGACTAGCAGTTGTTCCATCATCTTCAAGGGATCAAGGTGAGGCTGACCAGTCAGTAGTTCCCTGCATCCTAATTCCTGCCCTTCCTGAAAATAGGAGTAACATTTGCTTTACTCCAGTGCCGAGGCACCTCTCCCAGTCGCTATGATTGTTCAGAGATAGTCAAGAGTGACATCGCAGTGACATAAGATGGCTCCCTCAGCACTCACGAGTGCATCACATCAGGGTCCATGGATTTGTGTATGTCCAGTTTGCTTCAGTATTCCCTAACCTGATCCTCCTCCACCAAAGGTCTTCTTTGCTCTAGACTTTCCCCAGTCTCTAAGTCCTTAGGTTTCTCAAGGCCTTAGACGTTGGAGTTAAACATTCACATCGACACTGGGAACTTCTCTGGGGGCTTAACAACATGGATTACAGTTGTTTAGTGATCTGCTCACAGTCAAAAGGCTGCACTCAACTTCAACCCACTCACCTATCCACGCCGACACAGGAGTGACACCTTTCAAACTCCAAAATTTCGTCCTGCTGTGATTTAGCCATATGTTTAAACATAGTACCTGTGACATAATTGCATGGCTTCTGCAGCAGCTGTCCCCTCATCCAGCAAAGATGCGTTAGCCACATCCATTCCTGTGATATCACACACCATAGTCTGGTAATTTAGCAGGCTCTCCAGCCTGCCCTGGGAGACCTCAGGTTGGTAAGGAGTATACTGCGTAACCCTGTAAGAAAAGAATTCTGAGTTTGGGTCTAGGAAAATAAATGTGTAACAGAATTATGCCAATACGTAACTGAACTATGTCACAGGAAAAACAAATTGTAAAGCATAATTCACTAACATAAAAATTTGTTAGAAAAGTTATTTTTAGATGGCTGTCAGTTATTACTGTCCTGGAAGCCTGAGAATATTTTCTGTGTATTGAGTTGGCTTTTTACAGGAGAATAATTCTTTTTCTCCATTTTGAAAAGAGGAACTACTTTTAAAACAGAGGTGTAAAAGCATCTTGGGGAAAGAAAAGGGGAAGCAGGTGCTGAGTGTGGGAGAATTGAGTCAAGTCACAATATCCAAATGAGAAAGTGTAGTTCAATCATATCATATAGGTTTTGCCATAATCTTTCAATACTGTTTCTGAAGCCCTTTACTTGCCAAGTCTTCTCCACCCTAACAGGAGGGAAGGCACTCGGTACTTCACAGGATTGAGTTCAGAAATACCCAAGTTTCTGTGAAATGGCAGTTTCCATATATGTTAGTGAAGGGAAACAAGACTGATGTATTATCTATTGTCATTTGGAGAACAAAGCAATAGAGGCAACATAAGCAATTCCTTAGAAAAGGCAACAATCTAAAGGAAACACTCCATTGTAACAGTCCAGAAAAACAAAACAACATGGGTCCAGGGATGAAAGGCAAGAACAGAGATCAGACTCTCCTCTCACTGCTGGAATGTTGGGTACTGGATTCTACAGTGGTTCAGGACAGACATTACACCAGTTTGCATTCAGAGTAGTGGCCAGAAAAAAGTGATAAGTGGGAAAACTCAGGACCTCTGTTTTCTAGCAATGGAAGAAAACAACAGTTTGTTTCCTGAAGGGGCAGTAGTTAAGGTGTAGACTTTTCAAAAATGTTTATGGTATTTGGAAGTTCAAGTCATGTAAAGTCAACAGAAGGTAAGTAACAAAGATTTTTAAAGAACAAGCTCCAGAACCTGTGGTATAGAGCAAGATGAGAGGAGCAATGAAATAGTAAAGCGAGAGGGATGGTAGGAAACAAGTCCTGAAGAAGAGAATGGAAGAGCTAGAAAGAATGACATACCCAATAAGTGAACTCAAAAGTGTAATATATTGTGCTAATGTATTTACTGTCTATTTAAATTATACATCTGCTCAAATTTCTCATATACTATTCAGTACAGCGACAGAATGCAACAGCTATATATCAGATTAGAGAATTATTGATTATTTTCACAAATATTGAAGATTTTTCCTGCTTCTTAGCCAAGTCTAACACTAAACTACTTATCATAATATACTTGACTGCATAGTTCACAAGTGAGACCATATCCTGGGCTGCATGCAACATTGCTCACCTCAATAGTAATATTTTTTTTTTTTCTCCACAGCTGCCAAACCCAGCTTTCAGTTTGTTAGATAGGCTTTCATATAAAGATTTGTTTTCTGAATGGTCCCCCTGCCCACTCAGTTCTCACCAATAAAAAGAATTATTCCCAACTCCTTTGCATGAAGAATGAGTTTTCTTGCTTAATAAAAGAAACTCCTCTGTAGTTGAAGCTAACAATCTTAATCTCTCATTTTATTTCTGCTACAGGCCTTTTTTTTTACATTATACCTTGCAGGAGGAGATGAATGAGAAGTAGACCAATAAGCATCAAAGCACTGAGATGAATTGAAATGCATTAGAAAAATGTTACTCAGTGCAAGAGAAGAAAAATAAAATAAAAAAATCATTGGTTAGTCCTTGTCAGAATAATCAGTCAACAGAAGTGAGTTTTTAATTAAAGTTGTTCATTTCAACAAAAACATTGTTTCATTAATCCATTACTAACTAGGGACTGATACAAAATGAGTAAGGTAGGGAAAAAAAGAAAAAATAGTAGTAGAGAAGCAACACTTCACATTAAACTGGGCTGCAAATTTTGCTGAAGACCTTAAAGTTGTAGCTGTTCATGAGGTGCAAAATTCTCTGTTTTGTTTTCAAAAACAAAACATCTTTCTTAAGATGTGAGTAATGTTCACAACTTCTTACCTGATGAGAACCCCCTTTCCTAAAATTTTATCTTATATAATTAATTAGAGACTGACTTTGCAATGAATGCTTCAAAGCTGACCACTTTAAATAGCTACCCAGAAACCTATTTAAAAAGCCTCAGGAATTTTCACACATAGTTTATGCTCAAATGATTTTCTAAACGAAGTTTTTGTATTGTGTAAAATAAATAAATCTATTCTTAAACTGCTACTAAGTAGCTGCTAATATGATGGTTCGATTGAATACCCTCAATCCTACCCCACATAGCTGGGACAGTACAGGATACTACAAAACAGGATTTATGAAGCTTTTTGATTTTGATGTTATGCTTTTGAATGGTAAAAACAGTTGAAGCAAAACCAAACAATTTTGGAAAGGATGAAAAAAAATTCAATGAAGAAATCTTGCATTCCAGTTATTACTGCAAATTATAGTGCATGAAGTTCAACAGTTGTACAGGTAAAGACATGAAAACATTTATTTGAACACTTTTTTTTTTTTTTTGGGGGGGGGGAAGGTTGTTTGGCACCGTTTAAGAATCTAAATATTTTATTATAATAATTCTACTTCACAATGTCTTCCAAAAAAATAGCTGGCTTTAGTCCGCACTCTGACTTTTGCCTGAATCAACACAAGTTAAGTGAGTTTTTGAAGTCATTTAGAAGCAAACTCTTTAAAAGTAAAAGTAATTTCTAAACTTTTACATAAATCAAATCTCTAAAAAGCACCCTGAAACGTCTCTCATTCAAAAACCTTATTTTTTTTCAGTTTAGGTTTGTTTAAGTGGTTATTCTGCACATAATTCAAGTCCAGTACCAATAACACTAAAATGAAAAGGAAGAATTGTCATTGTGGCAAGGAACACAGCTACAAACTGCCTCTTGTTCAATCAAACTGGAGGAGAATATTATCCCCAGTCAGCATCTGTTCTGACCAAAAGTATTTCTGCAGACAAATGCTCCCAAGTTAATTAACACAGACAGGTTATGACACAAAAGAAACCTTCCATGAAAAGTTTGTGGCATCTTTCTTGAGCCAGTGTCTGACCTTTGGGAGTTCAGCAGTCAGTGGTTTCAGTTTTTGTAGCTTTTATAACTCTTTGCTCTAGTTTAGTGTTTCACCCTTTGCCTCATCCTACTCTCAGAAACACTTGTATGAATACAAATTTTAAGATACTGATGAAGGTTTTTAAAGAAAAACTGGCATCAAAGCAAGAAGTATCTAGGAAGCACGCTTTTAGCCAAAAGCTAGGCCACTCATCAAAAGGCTTGCTTTATGAAAGAGCAGAAACTTTCATGCTTGGGAGTTGGACATCACTGTTAAGGCCAAAACGGAAACATAACAAAATTAAAAGGCTGTATTTAATTTAAATATGCACATATATAAATATTGCAGTGTAGAAAAAATACTACAGTACAGCTGTACAACTAGGAGCCATCCAACTGCAAGCAATTCCATCCAGCCTGTAAAATTCCCAAATGCCATACTGTATATAGAGTTCCAGATGCATCACTTGGCACTTCATGCATCTTTGAAAAGCAGTTATACGGGTATTCCTAAAACAGTATCTTATCCATGAGTTTGAGAAAGCTGGATAGTCTTATGACAGGGCATGGAAACATGTCAGTTTCCACTTGAAGCACAAACACTAAATTTACTGCCAATTTGGCATGCTTTGTAGTTGCTTGTACAGCTTTCTGTATCCAGTCTACAAGCAGAAACCAGCTGAGTAATGTTTGTATCATATTTTTGCACAGTATGCAGTAATTTTCAGAATGCAATGCTACTAGCTAGTAAGTTTAATAAGTTACACTACTGATGTAAAATTTGCAGGTGTCCTTAGTACAGGTACTTTATTCTTACATATTTAATGGCTGAGGGCAAAGGAATCAAGTGAGCTGTACTTTGGAGGCCTCTGCATCATGCTCTGTTCTATGGTATTACTGTGACTTCAAAGACCTTCTTGATGTTCAAGGCATGATAGATATTTTTATCCATTTAAGCCTCAAAAAGAAATACTACACTGTTTTGACATATATGTTAATAAGAACCCTATATGTAAGCTGATTTCTGAAAACAAATATGCTTCACATGTTCAGTTTTTCATTTATGTTCATGGCAGGGCACAGAATTCATTTGGTATGCTATTAAGGAAAGAGCCCCGCACACTGGGTGGGGTGTGAAAAAATTTAATGAGTATGTTAATATGGGCTACAGCAGAATAAGGACTATGCATCCACACCAGCAGACAGATGACAGTATTCATACATTTGAGGGGTCCGTGCTGAAAGTCACATAATTGGTGGTATGCCCCAAAATAAATCCTTCTGCCTGCATTTTAGAGTTCAGGTGTTCTAAGGATTAAGTAAGTTACACATTGGCCTGATATTTATTTGTTTGGAAACACAGACTAATTTTTTTTGCTAATATCAGCTAGGTAGTGTATGGAAAATAGTCCTGAGACTTCCACCTCATGTTAGCATGGAATTGTTGGTCACAGATTGCTAGGAACAAGGAAATGTCAGCAGCCAGTAACCAAGAGCAAAAGGAAATAAAGTATCAGAAACAAGGGATATTTATCTTCCACCTTCTGTGACTAAGTTAAATCCCTCATGTCGGAGACTGGAATTCTAACTGCAGCATTTCACGTCCACAGCAGAAATTTCTCTGCTTTTTCTCTAACCTTCAGTCAATGTGTTCTTTGGATAAAGTTATCCGAAAAGTATCTACCCTAAGTGTTTTGAAAGAGCTTCTTTCATGAATACAGATATAGCTAAAAATTGGGATTCAGACTTAAAAGGACGCCTATGCTTTTCTAAAGCTCCTAGTACAAGAAACTCCTGAATGCTGACTTCCCAGGCACTTATTAGTGCAGTTTTGGTCAGATAGTTTTATCTCACAGTAATTAAGCTACTCACTCAGCTTTTATTGTGAACAGAGATGTTATAGATCATTGTCCAAATGCTTCAAAAAGTTTTGAAACTCCAACAGTGGTGAGTATTTTCTTAACAGAATCTGAGTTTTTGAAGACTTCCGTGGTAATCTTCTGAAGAAAGCAGTATGGGCCAGGAGTCTTGTTTTCAGATGAAAATACATTTTGTTCTAAACAGGTTCCTCCTGAAATCTACCCCTTTGCTTCCTACCTCCTCCTAGGAAGTCCAAATGTCCTAAATACTGCAAAGTCCTTTAATTCCATGTTCACAGACTTCTACAAACAATCTTTTATAAACTTACATGGTATTCCAATGCAAGCCTTGCTCTAATGAATGCCAAGCCACAAGAAACGTCAAGTCATGTGAGAGAGGCAGAATTGTGCTTGCTGCATTTCCCTTGGAGCTGCAACGTGAAGTCTATCAGCACAGAAATTGCTACATGCTCAGTGGATGTAAGGAGAGGTTTGATTTCTTAAACAGTTTCCATAAAGTCTGTAAACTTGCTTTTGCACACATGCATACAGAGCTCACATACATCCTCTCCTCAGTAAACATTTTAGTCTTCACTTTAGCCACCTGGAGCTTTTAGCTGTCTAGTGTGACTTTATTGGGCACTTATCTAAGAGCAGATTTCTGGATAGAAATCCCAGTTGTTTCATTAACACTATATATTTTTTTAGGATTTAAAAAATACGCAGTTCATTTTGGCCCACTTACACTTCAACTGTTCTTATTTTTGCCTCCAGCAACTGATTATTTCTTTTGCAGCACTGGACTGAAATGTTTAGATTGCGTATGTTGCAAAAAGTGAGTGGGGATAAGGCCAAATAAACTTTGTATAGATGTACTGCATAGATTCCATGAGTCCAAGCAGTGCAACTTTTCATCAGTTCAAAAGTTTGAGATGCAAATAGAGCAGACAAGTCTAAAAATACACTGACTTGGAGGTCTACAGATACATAGACCCATTTATGGCAACCCAAAGTACAAAAAATACAGCATCTAAGTACCAATGGCTTTTTACACTGACTAATTTGACTCTTTGGTTGGTTGGGGGTTTTTTATATACGTATAATCTTTAAACATTGCTTTTTTTAAAATAAAAACTCCTCAGTAATAAAGAATACAGGTATTATTTTAATACAGTACAGAAAAAAAAGGATGTTACTGACGAGAGATAAGGGAACTTCTAAACCAAATGAGAAAATGCAGGGTATCAGTGGCATTCAGTCCATTGGAAATTGAGACTCTACATTAAATTTAGTTTTTCTGTTGCATCATTTCTGAGTTACAGTTCTTCAGAGAAACACAAACGCTACATGAGCATTTATAACCAAGCCTTAGTGCATTTGTCTGGAAAAGTCCATCAAGAGACAAAACCCCATTATTATTTAGATTAATGCTGCTCATAAGATATAAATCAAGGTATCAAAATATATACTTTTTTACATTGAAATAAAAAGAAACCCCAAAACAATAACATTCAAATTCAAGTATGTCAGACAGGCTATTCTTTTGCTTGTCCCAAAAAACCAAAATGTCAGCTGGGTGATGCAAACAAAGTACAATATTCTCAGCCTCTTCATAAATGAATTATCAAGTTTTGCTGTCTACCTGTTTTAAGGCACCAGTGAATTATTTGTTCAGACAAGAACATGCTTTATGGATATACATTCAAACTCTTGAAGGTCTCTGGTTTAAAAAAAAATCAAGAAAGAAATACCAAGAGAAGAGCCTGTAAAATTTTCAAGGCTTCTTATTTCCACATAAGAAAACCATAATCAGAGTATTGCACAGCATTTAACTACCTCCACCCAACAGTGGATGAGGTTTAAATTTAGGCAGAAGTTAGGAAAAAATTACTTCAGTTTAGGACTTAAGTCTGTATACATCCTGAAAGCAAACAAATATTGTTTTGGTTGGTTACAAATAGGAGCTGTGAATAGAAGTCAAAAAGTCAATAAAATATTTTACAGAAAAAGCATATTCTAAAGTCAAAAGTATTCTTTCTCCTCTCTAGCTTCAGTAAGAATAACACAGTTCCTACACTTACACATCAGTATCAAATATACGAAAGCCTTAGACAAAAAAATAGATTTGAGTTGTATTTGTCTATGCTAATTCATAAGATGAATTTCAAACGTATATTTATACATATGCATTTAAAAATTAAAGCGTGGTACATTACCATCCTGCATTCTCCAACAAATTCCGTACAATGGGCTGAGGCACTGAGCAGTTGTAATAACCCATGCCTATATAAGATCTCCATATCTTGTTCTTGCTTGCAATATTGTATAGAGTTTCAAGGATTTCATTTTCACCTAATCGAAAAGAAATGATGTCAGAAAACTACTGTTACATATAATGCTAACAGTTTTTAACTGAAATGTGTTGTACCCCTGTGTAAAAAAAATGCAACACTGGTAATGCAAGTATAAACAGTAGCAAAATAAGGTGCAAACCAACAACAGTAAAGATAAAATAACAAACTGCTAAAATATTCTGGGAAAGTCTGAATTCTGCCTAAGTTCTGGAAACTGCAACAACTGAATAACAGCAGGGTTTCAACCAATGTGGAAATAATAGTGAGAGGAACAGATGTAGTCAAATGGCTTATGGAGCCCTTTTTGTGCTAATGCAATGTACATTCTGGGTCTCTTGTACATGCATTAAAATGTATCTCAGAAGGCACCTTTTGTGAGCTAAACGCCGCAGAATCTGCACTGGATGAAGTGATAGCCATCCACAATTATGACTCATTGTTTCTAACAGAGACATATTTGTACAAACTGGGCTCACACCAAGCACCTGGGAGTAATTTCTTAGTATTAAAGAACCTTCTTTTCTCACATATTCCCTAAAGAGCTGATAAAATGGAACAGTTCTTTTAATTCACTTTTAGTATGCTTCATCGGTTTATTAAAAAAAAAAAAAAGTGAATACAGTATTGCTAGCGTAAGAAATTCCATTTAAGATTAACTTATTTTAAATGAGTCTGCCAATCTAGTTTGGAGAGATTACAACAGAATGCTTTTGAAGTCTTCAGACGGAAAGCATCCGCACTCCCTCCCCCAACTATAGTCTTTGGTCTTGCTTCTACGTACTTCTCAGTGTCCTGAAGGCTGTGCAAAAATCACATTCAGTCAACCTGTTCCTAGTAGTCAATGAATAATGCTACCCAACATCTGCCAAGAGGAAAGATTTACAAAATATTTTAGCACCCGAGGACGCAGAAAGATGGTCAGGAGACTGTCTAGGATTAGGCAGAGTGATAGACTTGCCCAGCCCAACAGACCTGGGTGGAAGTGGATACCAGCCCTCCTAGGTGAGGGGAGCAGATCTTTTTTTTTCCTCCCCACCCTGAGTCTGACCTCAGAAACCTCTGTACTGGGGCAGTTACACCAAGTTTTGTTCATTCTGCACTGCAACTTGAAAAGCAGACTTTGTAGTATGAAGCTATAACTCACCAAAGCTGAATTGTTTGGGCCCTGGATGTCTCAAAAACTATGTTCTCTCTGTAAGTTACTCCAGCAAGAGAGAACAAGTCAAAAGAGTTAATTGTCTGGAATCTGGTGGCAAGTCATTCTCTAGGTTCTGAATTAATTTCTTCTGCAGCCATAAAAAAGGCTATTGTAACTTTAGCTCTTATTTCAAAACTCATCTCTCCTCTTCCTTTTACCCAAAGTGCTATTTCATTCCATGTATAAAGATTAATTAAAAAAAAAAAATCTTCTGGTTTTCAATTAATTTATTCCACAGTCACATTATACTTTCCACAAAGTTATTTTTTTACTTATCTTCAGTTCTCACTTCAAGGTTCATTTCTTCTCTGCCTTTTACTCAGTGTTACTATTAGATCTAATGTATAAAGATTAATTTCTTGTTTTCAGAAAACTGCAATTTTTTTCTAGAAACTCAAGAATCATGTGTTTATTATACTTGAACTCAGCAACGTCTGGGGCAAAGTTTCTAAAGCATAGTGAGCAGCTCCACTCCCCAATACTCCTACAGTTTATCCCAGACAGATGCACTTGTCTGTTTACTTTAAGTGACAGTTTTAACACTGGAGAGAGCTTCCTCTACCACTTGCAAACCAAAAGTTTGATGAAAGACAATTTGGGTGCAGTTTGAGAGGGAGGGTTGTATCCTTGCAGAACTGAAACATCAAAGATTTTTTTTTAAATGGTAATAAATTTGCTTGTTTGGCACCAATACAGTTAAGGCAGAAGTTGGCTATCATTTAACTTGCTCATTAGCCCAACATCATGCACAAAAATGCATTAAAAGTGTGATTTCTGCAGTAAAAATTTGACATATTATACACATATAACATTATAACACAGGTACTGTACTATGTGCCAGATAGCATTTCCTTTGTTTGGATGGGATCCAATGGGATGCTTATTCTAGAGAGTAATTTCTCAGCAAATATAGCTAACTACCACATGAAGACACTGAAATTGTGCCGGAGCTCTTGTAAATAAACCAGTTTCCACACTGGTTTTGCTTTGTGAAGACACAAAGCAAAAAGCCTCATGAGACTGCAGGAAGGTGAGATAGCAATTATGCTTAAGAGCAGAACGACATCCCATCTAGAAGAGCTGTGCTGATAGATCCCAACACTGAATATATTTTTAATTATTACATTTTTATGAGCTATCTGTGAAGACAGTTACACTACCAGTTTTAATCAGGGTGATGAAATGCTGGAGGGCACACTCCCTCCACTCCAGCTTCACCTCACTTCTCCTTCTCCTTTGGTCACTATGAAGGCACCAGCAGCAGTACAGCCCTGATACACATCTTCCACATTTGGCATGACTCTCTGGAGAGACCACTCCTTCCCCTGTGCCTTGCACTGCCTTGAAGTAGTTCCTCACAGCATGTCTTCAGGAAGACATCCCATAAGGAACTGCACTCCTGAGTCTATAGCCTCCGATTTGTCTGTACAGCCTGGCTTACCTAAGACCAGACTTAAGTCCATGTAGATTTATGATGATTTACTTTTCACAAATCAGTGTTTATGGTTCTGAATTCAAGCAAAACTGATGTAGACAAGGGTGAGGGAAATTAAAACCTGTGTTGGGATCCGAAGACCAGAGAGCAAGGGAGTTAAGCCATTCCTAAGCCCACCACCAACAGAAGGGGATGGAAGAGATTCAGCTGGGCTCTTCACAGCGGTGCATGGCGGAAGGGAGAGAGGCACCAACACAAGCTGCAGCATGAGAGGCTCAGGTTTGAGACAAGGAGAAGGCTTTTCCCCATGAGGACAGCTCAGTGGTGGAGCTGGGTCTCCATCCTTTATGGGTTTCATGTTCCGACCGGGTGAAGCGCTGAGCAACCTGGTCCAAGCGATGGCTGAGCCTGCTGTAGGCAGGGTCTGGAGACCTGCCCAGGTCCCCACTAGTCTGAATGGGATCCTGTGTCTCTGTCAGTAGCTGGATTTTCCACTTCATCAAGCCTAGCTTTTAACAGTGTATTCCCATAATATTATTTGTGAAAGGTCACTCTGTAAGAAACTAACACTAGTATAAAGCCAGAAGAATGCTAACCACAAGAGTGATCTTATAAATGCTCAAAAATTAATTTTCAAATTTAAAATGAAATTGATAAGTTTCCAGTTTGGTCAGCAAGATTGTCATCAAACCCAGACATTTTCTGCTGTATAAAGTATGTATGTTGGAGCATATGTAGTGGAAATAGTGTACTCTTGCAAGTATTTACTTATTTATGTATTTAAAGCTAATGAAGACTAGGATTTCGGCAAACTTCAATACATATGGTTGAAAAAAAACACAGTTTGCAAGATGTCCTGTTGGGTTACTGATATTCTTTTTAAATTATCCCCAGCAATAGGGTGAAATAAAGAAACAATATCCAAAATGGGGAAACAGAATAAAATTTTTAAAATTGATTGTGGTTAAGACTATGGTTGCAAACTGGCCATCACACTCAGCTGTTTGTTTCCAATCTTCTAAGTCAATATGGTTGAAATGCCTTTATCTTGAATTCATTTTATTTGGTGTACACTATAAATCCATTAAGAACCTTGTTCAGCAAAAAAGAAAATTGCCAGCTAAGTCACTGCAGTTGATCTTTATTCCCCTTGTCAACTCATTAGATAATATGATCACAGACAGTACCCAGAATAAAGTTCGTTGATGTTGCAGTAAGGTTATCTTAGAACTGTGGAGAAAATTTACTGAGGCTCGTAGTAGTAGTTCTGTGAGGACACTTCATGACTGCTACATTTACAGGCACAAAAGGCAAAATAGGTAAAATATCACAGAAATAGTAAGAGGGAGCGAATTATCAGATTATACAATGATAGTATTGTTACTTCTGCTTGTGTTTTCGTGGTTAGCACAGCAGATTTGCCTTGAACTTGTGAGATACCTCCAAAATAATGTGGTACCCAAAAAACAGAAAGAGAGCGAGAGAAATCATAGACGGAAGGAGCGGTTTGAGTTATACAAGTCAGAACTTACAACACAAAAGGGAAGAGACTATTCGTCTGATATAATTTTGTTCCCATTATGTCAGGTTTTTAAAAAATCTAGCTTCTGTGATCAAGGAAGCAAGATTTTCAGAAAAGTTGATAGAAGAAAAAAGAGGATTAATATATTTATCTTGCTGTAGCAACTGATTTGATCTCTCTTTAAAAGAAATAAAAATCAGATTATATGGAAGCAAAACAGCTCCAAAGCACTGTCAGACATGTAATAATGCTGCAGGACAGCACAAGAAAAGTGCCTGTTCCTGGTGCTGAGTCTGACGAGCAACTTTGCAAGAGATGGGTGGAAAGCCAACAGCCATCTGCTGCTCTGCCTCCTCCTCCTCTCACTCTGGCCACCTGCAGTCACCCAGCCTGCCTGGGTGGCAGAGGAGGCCAGAGGATGGATGCTGTGAGGACTGGAAAGCACACAGGGGCTAAGAGCCAGCAGCGCGCCTACCATTCTCTGTCCTGCCCCAAGGCCTGCTGCCTTCAGGAAGAGGAGCAGCAGCCCCAAAATGCCGTGAGGAAAGAAGCATGAGGAGCAAAGTGCCACCAGTGGTAATACAGATTCCTGCCCCACTTGTGGAGGACAACAATTACCCCCGGTGAAGGCATCCAAAGCACACTGTGAGGACACCAGCACTGGGAATCTGAAATTACTAGATCACCTCCAAAAATCTGACTGACATTAGAGGCTGATTATAAACTCATCCAGAATTAAATTTTAAGCAGCATTTTAAATACAAAGTCATAGTTAGAGAAAATTTAACTGCATGAAGAGCAGTTAAATTTGAAGGTACAAATAGTCTTTCTTACAATA